CCCAGGGCCTGGCTAGGAGCCAGGACAGCGTGTCCTGCACAGCAAGGTTTTTCCAGCCCTCCAGGCTCATCGGAATTGGCTTGCCGCTGCGCCATTGCTTGTGGGTGTGATGGGCATGGGGGCGTCCTATGGAGAATCGTCTGGGACTGTAATTGACCGGGAGGTGAGGGCTCAGGTAGGCCTGTTTGTAATGGAGCAGCACCCCGTGGTGGGGAAAAGTCCACCCTGCACCTCATCTGCCTTCCATCTACATCCCTGGGCTCTGTGGCAGGAGGCTGTGTGAGGTGAGATGTTTTTATTTAATATGGAGATATACCTATCTCATAGAGCTGGAAGGGACCTTGAAAGGTCATTGAGTCCAGCCCTCTGCCTTCAGTAGCAGGACCAAGTACCATCCCTGACAGATTTTTGCCCTAGATTCCTAAATGGCCCCCTCAAGGATTGAACTCACAACCCTGGGTTTAGCAGGCCAATGCGCAAACCACTGAGCTATCCCTCTGTAACTAAGCCAGGATGTGTGTGTGCTAAATAAGGATGAAACCAGAGTCAGACCGAATCTGATCCCGAACACTGAACCGTAGAGAGATCTGGTTGGTTAATCACCCCCCCATCCTGTCCTCCCAGCCCCCATGTGCCCATGGAACGGAGTCTCTGAGTCGGCCGGCTCCGGTGCCAGTCCCGGCCTGAACAAGGGAAGCAGGCCGTGCTGAGACTGCAAATGAGGCTGGCCGGGCCCGAGGGGGATCCAAGAAGCAGCCAGATACTTGGCAGGTTGCTGACCCGATCTCCAAACCCTCTGCCTGTTGTCATTGGAGGGGTGGGGGCATGATACCTCCCCCGCCGCAGGCAGGCCATGAATCCTCCACTTGTGGAACGTGGGGTGCATCTGCTGCCAGATGGGCTGCAGGCGACAAAGTCCCCCAAGAGGGGTGCAGTGGGACGGGCCGCTCCCCGTAAGCGCTTTGAAATCCAGCGAGTTGTCCCTGAGATCGCAAGGCAGGACTCGGCGGCTTCCGACCCTGTCACGCCGTTCAGCCAGGTGGCAGCTAGATCTACCGTTTCCCAAAGTTTGGGGGTGTTTGGGCGTGTGGTTCTGGCTCAGCCCAGTGTAGGGAGACGGAGCAGCCGCACAGCGAGGGCTGGGGACTGGTTCCCAAGTTTTGGATGACGATTTTGATTCAAGCTGATCCCCCGGCTTGATCCCAGAGTTGGGGGGTGTCTGGAGCTGGGTTTCTGGTTCTGCCCATTACAGGGAGGTTCCCAGAGCGTGGCACTGGCTCTCTGGGTTCCCGGAGTTGGGGGGTGTTTGGGTCTGAGGTTCCGGTCCGGTCCCCTCTCCGCTCGTTCTGTAACTCGCTCTTATCGTGCCCCTTGGCAGACACTTCGCGGAAGCCCAAGGACCAGGAGAGGATCGGCCAGGTCTACTGCTTCGTGTCGCGGGGGGAGATGGAGGCGGACATCAAGGCTGGCCGCTACCTGGAGCACGGGGAGTATGAGGGGAACCTCTACGGCACCAAGATCGACTCCATCCATGAGGTGGTGGAGTCCGGCAAGATGTGCATCCTGGATGTGAACCCGCAGGTTCGCGCTACGGGGACAGGCCCCGCTGGGAAGCTCCTAGTTATACTGGAGGGGAGGTTAGAGCTCGGGCTTGAAGCTCTGGAGAATGGCCACAGCTTGAGCAAAGACGAGGCAAGCTTCTCTTGTACCCACCCCAGCCACCTGCCCCAGCCCTGACTGGGAGGGGAGCGCAGTCCGGGGCCCACTGAGTACCCGGCCTCTCTGCTGAGCCTGGGCACACACCTAGTGTGAAGGGTCCCTGCCCTATAATGCAACTGACAAGATAAACGGTGGGAGGGGGAACTGAGGCACAGAGCAGGTCAGTGACAGATCCAGGGGTAGAACCCAGGTCTCCTGGTTCCCAGCCTAGTGCCTAACCATCGGGAAACGCTGTCTCCCCGTGGCCATAGCTGGTAACAGTTATTGGTCGCTACCCGCCAGGGCTGGCTCTGAGCGGCGGGAAAAAGCTCTGGGTCCCATTCCCAGCCCCCACGGCTGCATGGGTCCCCCTCCC